TCCCACAGGGTGAAGTGCCTGTCACCCAGCTTCCCCCATTGTTGCTAGTACAACATGGGCAGCCTCCTATGTTGCTGCAGCGGCAGTATACACCAGTTCCTCTCCATTTGCACAAGAAGTGAGTCTACATTGTGGGATGAGAATAGTTGGGCTCCCTGGTGCAAATGCAGAAGAACCGGCATATGCCACTGAAATGAGGTCAGTAGTTCCAGCTCCTTTTCTGAAGTATAATGAGTACTAAAGCTTCTTTATGTCATTCTTTCCCCAACCCCTCTCCAAGCTGCTGTAGCTACATGAAAATTAAATGATCAGTATAGATCATTGTTCTCAATCTTGTCCTCCAAATATTTGGGATCTTAGCTCTCATAATTATGTATGTGTTTTTATGGTTGGAAACCAGGCTGAGTCCCTCTTATGAGGTGAGAAGCTCGGTATATAAAACTTTGAAATAAATAATAATAAATAAAATAATTTGTGGTAGAAATGATGCCGAGATGGTCTTGCTTTACAAGGGAAGACTGGTTTACACATTTTCTTGCATCCTTTCTCCAGACTTTATTTGCTCCCAAATTAAGTATTTCCTAATTTGAATTTTTGAAGCACGAAAAGAGGTAGTTTTATAATGCTGAGGGTATCTTTCTGTACTTAATGAAAATATTTTGCACCTGGGCCAGAGCAATGCTACTCAAAGTGTGCACCAGTCTGTGGCATGTTTCTAGGAAACTGCAAGTATGGTAATAGTATAGCACAAATATGGTGCTGAACCCATACATATGAGGGTTTCCTTAATGAGACAGAGTAATTCAACACTAAGTTTTTTTTCTGAAATGGAACACAATCATACAGTTACTTTGTTCAATTGGACTTTTGCATAGTTTTGAAATGTGTATTATATGTGTGATTTTCTTGAAAATATCTCAATTTTCATCAAAATATATAAATCAATGCATTAAGAAAACTGAACAAGAAATGCCTGAAACATTCATTTAATTATTAAAATTATATAACTTTTTTATAAATATAAATTAGATAAAGCACATATATTTTTGTCACACATCATATGTATGTTATGTGTAAAAAACATTTTATATCATCCAGTGGAGTTCTTTTGTATTTGCTTGTGGAGTCTGAAGTGTTCATTGTTTTAAATGCTTCAGAATCTTCTGAGCCTTTGAAATTGCAAGCGTCAGATATTTTCAAAAGTGTAGTGATAGCAGTAAGATAACACTTAATTGGGGTTCTTTTAAATCAAATCCCTAATTATCCCAGTTCAGCAAATAATAGTTTTCAAATCGTTAAAGCTTGTAAACCTGTGTAAATTATCCCTAACCTAGATTTTGAACAATGCTTCTAAAACCTCCTCCTAAGCACACGGGTCCTCAAAAGACAGAAAATAAACACAGGATGTTTACAGAAAAGGCACAATAGATTCATTAAGAATTAGGAGCTAATTGGATCTGTCAGCTGAAGGTGCTGTTTAATGATTTATTTTTTGCATTTGTCTCAGGAGTTAAAGACAATTAGTTTCTTTGCCAGCATGAAGTATTTATGTATGTATTTTCTATCCCTTTGTTGTTGCTATTAAACTAGAACCTGCTGAACTGTTTTCTTTTTGCTCCTTTATCTCCCCAATTCGTGGTATCTCTTTTCTCTCCCCCCCCCCCCGCCCCAAACCCAGTTCTCTTTTACTTTGTAATCTTCCTTCTTTCCATCATTTTGTTTTGTTCACATATGTTTCTGTTTTGAATTGTTTCCCCCACTGTTCCTTCTCCTGACATCAAGATCTCTCTCTTGCCCCAACAGTGCTTTTCTAATCCATCCTGCTTGTCTTTTTCTCACTCAACACCTGAAATGCTATCTGGGGAAAATCTCACTGTCAAAAGGTAGAAAATGTTGGGATGGTTTATTGCCTAGATGGCCGCTGTTCTTAGCCACACTTCAGAGATTCCATTTATCTTTATGTGAGACCTTGTAATGGTTCAGAAGCCGTAATATTAGAACAGGACCTAAAACATAGTCTTTGTCGCAAACTCCATAGGTGGTCATTAACAAGTCATCAATATATCTTACAATCCTTATGAAAAGAGGTTCATTATGGCTGCCTTTACTCAGATTGTAGTCATAGTTAAAGGATTCCAATGTCATGTTAGAGTGGTAAGTGTACAATCAGTAATTTTTTTTTAAAAAATGAGACTATACTTCAAAGCAGATAATCTGGATTTTATATGGCAGTGTAAAAGGGGCCTCAAAGCTGACTGAACCATTATGTAGTGCAGGAAGCAGCTCATAGGGCCATGAAAAGGGCTTCAGTAAAGTGTTCACTTGCTCCTAAGTCATGCCTCCTGTCAACCAACTAGGCTGCCTGCAATTGGCTGGCCTTTTTGCTTTGTATCAGAACAAGTAAATTTACATGGGTTTATGGGAAACAGAAACAGCAGCGGTCATTTGGAAGGTGGCACCCGTCCTTGTTCTGCCCATAGCTGCAACCTACGAATTGTTGCTCCTGATGAGTCAAGGAATGCGTATCACAGAGAAGATTGGTTTGGATTGAGGCTTTTGGAAGAAAAAGATATCAGGAAATTCTGTATACCTTTGAGACTGAGGGAGCATCTGAATTGTAGAATTAATGCAGTTTGACATCACTTTATTTATTTATTTATTTATTTATTTATTTATTTAAAACATTTATATTCCGTCCTTCTCACCCTGAATGCACAGCATACATACGGCAAACATTCAGTGCCGGGACACAGATTCACATACAATACATAAACGTTTAAAAACATTTATCAAAATATTAAAATGCACCATTTAAAACTGTCCTAGTCGTCCACGTAGCCATGTTGAAAATTTCGTGGGGGGGTGTGTTGAAACCTGCCCCCTAGCTCACGCTGAAGCAAAGAGCACAGCAGGGGGCAGAGCAGCCTTCAATAGCCTGCAGCTCCGCCCCTGTCAACCACCTCCACCAAGTCTGGCCTCCTTAATGAGAGCATTCAACACCCCCCCCCCCAACTTGGTTGCTTCACTACATCAGCTATTGCTGCAAGTAATGACAGTGTGAATAAATTGTCAATATTTGCCTGAGATAGTGCTTACAGTTCTGGAGGGACTCTTAATTTTTTGCATCTTAGACTTAGCATGGGGATTTGGTTAACCAGTTAAAATTCATCAGTAAACCAGGTTTTTTTTAAAAAAAACTGAAACATTTTTTTTGGGGGGGGTTGAACCCCTAAACCTCCCCCCCCCCTCACTACAGGCCTGGTTGGTGCTGCTGATTCAGATGGGATGGGGACCACTCTAGTTTTGCAATTTCTTACTCTTTCACTCTCTCCATTATTTTCAGCCTTTCCAAAGCTAAAATTATGTTAATGTTTTGCTTTAAGTCAAAAAGATTAAGAATGATTGGGTAATCAAAGTGTGTATGGACATGAAAGTGCTCTCTTAATTTATTCCCAATTGAGTGATTATTTTGATGCTCATTTTATTACAGCTCTAAAAGTAGGCATAGGCATAGGTTGTCTTGAGTGTTTACTGTACATTTTATTTTTGATTTCAAATTTCAAAAATGCTTTTCAGTTAATATTTTATCAGGGATTATTTAGCTATGGCTTGATCTTAATTCTGTTAAGGTGCTAAATGTTGAGCAAACTTGCGCTGGATAATATTTTCTTTCTCAAACTTTCTTCTGACTTGTTCCATCCACAGTACTTTGGTGTCAATGTTGTGTTGAGCACTTCTGCACTATATTCTCAAAAGGCAATCTGTGTTCAAAAGACTTATGCTCCCAGTCGTCATGTGAGGCCACATAGACTTTTTCCTTTTTTTCTTATCTAAGGTTGTTGACCTCAAGAGAGAAGAAGAAGGTTATGAGGTCAAAGTCTTTTCCTCCTTGGAGCTCACTTCTCGCTGGGAGAGGGTTGGCTGGAAAATAGACGTTTTAGAACAGGGGTTAAGGGTCATGATTTTAATTCTGTTAGGGAACAGCTGTTTTGAGTTTCTTTCCACTTCTATCTCCCCGCCTTCCATCACAAGTCCATAGAGAGAGCAAGAAATTTGTTCAGAGGGAATCAGTCACAGAAGTATGTGACTCCAATGTATTTAATGCTTTTTAAAATGGATCATCTTTGCTGTTGAGATTCATATTAAGAGCAAAAGGAAGGTTGTCTCTAAATAACTGAGATATATAACTCAAATGCAAATTAAACTGCCATTCTGAAAGGCATTTTATTTGCTCGCCAAATGTCGGATGCAAATAGTAATTGATGTTCCACAACTCAATGTTAAAACAAATGGCATGTTTTTCATTTAGCAATTTGGGGCAGATAAACCTCTTTAACAAATGTGCATGCCTAAAACTGTGTGTAATGATTTCAAGAGAGAAAAGGGGTTATTTTGCAGATTTTTTTGGTAAATGTTTAAAACTGCATTCTGGACTTGCTGTTTTAATGGTTTAAACTGTAAGACGTGGTGAGGCAAGAGAGAAAGAAAACTGAACTCTCAAGTGAATGAAGAAAAAGACATAGATTTTTTTAGAGTGTTTGATTTTATTTCTGTCTGCGTTCTTCTGAAACATTGGCCTCAGGCTGTGTTGGTGTGTGGCTCAACAGCAATCAGAGGTCATAATTTCATTGGTGGTTAGCATCTAGTTTAATTTTTCTAATATGTTAGATTTACAAAAATGTCTGGTTTTAGTTATGCATATGCAGCATTGCTTGAAACAGCTTTAAGTAGCTGGAAGTTTGAAACAACCTGAAAGCCTGCAGGAACATTTATGGGACTTACAGGATAATTATTTTCACTGCTATCATTTATAACCAACTATATCTTTCTCATTTCTACCTAAGAGCAGCATCAAACAATATGCATATATTCTGTTACAGTAAGATGAGAAATATATGTCTGTATTGGTTTACTAATCTTTTTAATCATCCAATGGCAATAGATATTAACCTACAATTATAGAATAAAAGTAATATAGTGGCACTTTCCTTTCATTATAGGAATGTGACCAAGTTCATATTGATGATGTTTCATCAGATGACAATGGCCAGGACTTAAGGTAAGTCAAAACCGATTCAAGTCACAACAGAGACTGAGAAATGATTTAAAATAATAATAATTCTAGTACAATTTTTTCACTTCCTTTTTACAATGGAACTAAATTATGAGTAAAATATTCAGTTATAGTTTCTCTGGGGAAAAAATCTCATGATATTTGTTTTATTTCTTGCAATTAAAATCAGCACCTATAACTTTGGAACAGATGGCTTCCCCGCAGCAGCTACCAGTGCTAATTTATGCTTAGCAACGGGTGTGCGCGGAGGAGTGGATTGGATGAGAAAACTGGCCTTCCGATACAGACGAGTAAAAGAAATCTACAACACCTACAAAAATAACGTTGGAGGCAAGTACTCGTCATGCTCCCTCCTATATAATAATTGTCTCACTGCTTTCTCAACCTTTTCAACATGGCTATGTTTACTCAGCTACTTAGAACTGTGGACACTATAGAATTGTAAGATGTGGTAAGTAATCTTAGCTGAAATGCAAACACTACAGTGCTTGCACTTTTTTCTTTGCAGGTCTTCTGGGTCCAGCAAAGAGAGAAGCTTGGTTGCAGCTTAGAGCAGAAATTGAAGCCCTTACAGATTCTTGGTTAACACTTGCACTAAAAGCACTAACACTCATTCACTCTAGGTAAGTGGATTCAAGATAAGGCAAAATAATAATCCAAAACAATATGTATTAATAAAATGAGTAATTTTTTTTTTAAAAAATCGACTCTACATCTCTTCATGTCTAATGTGTATTCTTTCCTCTAATGCACATTTTAATTTTTTACATTACACATTATTTTTTACATAGCAATCTACACATGCTGCTGTAGATTGCTATGTAATTTCAAATTATTGCCATGAAATATGGCAATTAAAAAAGAATAAATAGATTTCTATCCCTGTTTGTTGTTCTTGTCCTAAAGCAATGGTTCTCAAACTTCCTCATGCCGTTCCTCATACATTTCCTCATGCTATGGTGACCCCCAACCAAAACATTAATTTTGTTGCTACTTCATAACTGTAAGTTTGTTACTGTTATGAATCCTAATGTAAATATCTGATATGCAGGATGTATTATCATTCACTCGATCAGATTTGGCACAAATATCTGATATACCCAAATGTGAATACTGCTGATGTTGTGGGGGGATTGATTTTGTTGTTTGGAAGTTGTAGTTGCTGGGATGTATAGTTAACCTACAATCAAAAGATGCATTTCCCTCTGCCTTGAAGGGATACAAGCCTCCCTCAAGCCTCTCGTGCTCTCCCTCACCTGCGCATCACTCTGCCATGTGCCAAGCACACCTGCTCTCCCCTCACCACTTGGAGTCTTAGAAACAGCCCTCCCCTTGCCTGAGAAGCTGGCCAGTCACAGCAGGAGGAGGGCTTTTGGTGGGAGGATTCACCATCTGTTTCCAAAAAGAAAAGAAGGACAGGTGAAGAGATCTTCAGCCTTTTCTGCCAAAAGGGATCCTAAGACCATCAGAAATATGTTTTTTGATGGTTTTTAGTGACCGCTCGTGACCCCTAGATTGAGAAATGCTGTCCTAAAGCATCCTTTTAACAGTTAGTTACCTTTTTGACCTGGAGCAGGGCTTGCATTTGGGTTCTCCAGGTGTTATTGGGCTGCATCTCAAAGCAGTCCTCACCATTCGCTATGCTAGCTAGCAGTATATTAGTATGCTTTTATTAAGAATGTTTTTACTTTCTTCTAGGACAAATTGTGTGAATATTCTAGTGACGACTACTCAGCTTATTCCAGCTCTTGCAAAAGTTTTGCTGTATGGCTTAGGTGTAGCATTTCCAATTGAAAATATTTACAGTGCAACTAAAATAGGTGAGTTACTCTACACAATGAGCAGAGCTCATTAATTGAAATTATAATTCTAAGTAAGATGGTATAAACATTTAGCTACTACCCTCTCTTTTTCCAATATAGAAATATAATTTCTAATTATTCTGTGTTTTCATACATTTCAAAGTAATGCAACCTTCAGAATTTCCTGTGTCTGTTAATCTTCAGCTAAATTTTAATAATAGGAAACATTAAAGTTAATTTAGAAGATTGTTTCCTCTAGTCTGGCCCATTACTCCATCTATCACTTGCTGATTTTTGCTTCTTATTTCTTCCCACTGATGGCTTGGGTGTATAAGAACATTATGTATAACATTTTTCTATTTGATTTTTGTTCTTTTAATTTTACAGTATCCACTAAAGTTCTCCAAGTTAAAGGGAGGCTCTAGAGCTGCTTCCTCTGAGATATATTTATATATAGGCCAGGATCCAAAGATCTACTTTAGGTGTGTCCAAGAGCTTGTGTGAATCCATTGAGATTGTTGTTTTTTCTTTCTTTCTTTGAATATGGATGTATTTATTGTTATTTAGTTTTGCTTAAATATGCATTTTTATGTGTCTCCACTAATATGATAGAGATAGAGAGTTGATGGTTTGTTTTCACTTCCAAGCCAAGCTGTATTACCATGAGACAATGATAGGGCTGTATATATGCAAGTTCAGAAATACCCCTCCATTTTCCCAGATAATAAAAGTAGGGACAAATAATGATAAATTTACCAAGGCAGATTCTCTGGAAATAACAATATTTTTCCAATTTCAGCTTGGAATACCAGAATAGTGAAAACCTAATCAGGGAAAAGAAAAATGAGTATTTGTAGACTGTCCATGATCCTGATTTTATTTTCAATGATTGTTTGAAGAAAAAAAAACCTGCCCTTGATATAATGATTGTATTGTGAAGTATTTATAGGTTTATTATTAGTTATTAATACAGTGTTATATAATTTCTGAAAATTGGGGTTTGATAATATACTTCATTGCAAAACTTCAAGCAATTTGTGCTCTTTTTTTCAGGAAAAGAAAGCTGTTTCGAACGCATAATTCAAAGGTTTGGAAGAAAAGTAGTATATGTTGTTATAGGAGATGGTGTAGAAGAAGAACAAGGAGCAAAGAAGGTAATGAGGCAACATTTTCATTGTTGAGAGCAAAATTTTAAGTTACATTGATTTTTCATCAAGGATTCTTCAACTTGAGGTTAAAGCCCACAGAATGCCATGGAGCTTATTTTGATTATATAAGTACAGGATTTCATCATAAGTATAATTCATTATTTCCCCTGAGGGTTAGCTATTGGGAAACCATCTATTGGGAAGTGCTCTAGCTGAGGGATGGGAAATATTATAAGAATTCTGAGTTTTAATGTTGCTCCTCCCAGTTATTGTCGGTTGAACAGAAATTCTGTTAGTGCTGGATGCAAATTTTGACATTGTCTATTCCATTGGTTTCTCCTGTGTGGAGATGTTTTCTGAGTGCATGTTCCAACATTCTTCATCATTAGCTATGATGGTTAGGGCTGTTGGAACTTTTACTAATTCTAACTCTATAGTTTTGCATCAAGCAGAAGTCTAACTTAGATGGCCTGAAGGCCCCTTTTGTGAAAGATTTGGAAGACATTACCCTGCCTTCCTTGTGATGACAAAGCTCATGTTTTCAGAAGGCCTGGGGCATTAGTTTAAATGGAAGATACTCCTAGAATGTTTTCTTTTGAAACAGGAGAAGCATCTCCATACAAAAAAAGTTGCAAGATGCAGTTGTAGTTGTCAGGAAGTTAATGATGTTTGGCTTTTTACAAATGCAACGTGGTGGCATTGGAAGAATATGTCTATTTCATGAAGGCATTCTTGTGCATATTCTTTGCATCATGCTTGACTGTTATGAAATGTCTATAGACATACAAACCAATGCTATTTTGATATGAGGACAATTGGTTTGGATTTTTCTCCCTTGCCTCTTTTGATCTCCCCGTTGAAAAGAGGGAAGTTTGAATTGTGTGTTTTATGAGGTTAGTTGTGCTGCTATTACTAATTTTTTTAAAAATTGCTTTCACTTTTCCCTCTTTGGAAATGTTTATGGGGGAAATGTAAAAGATGCTGTATTTAGACAGAAGTGGTTCCCCTATTTTTTCAGAGTCCAAATGCTTCTCTGGGTTTGGCTAGGCTTTAGTTCTGATTGCTTTGGAGGGAAATCCCTTTGCCTCAAATAAGGTCAGAAAGGGTCTGACATTCCTTGGTTTGGTTCTTGTGTTGTCTGAATTAACGTTTCTGTAATAATGTTGGAAAGTTGGAAAATTTCTTTGCCAAAGAAATTATTTGCCACTTGTATTAGTCTTTCGTTCTAGTTAAGCAGTATTTGGAATGGCCTTTCACAAAACACAGGAAAACTTCTACATTTCTGAAAACATCAGATAATACTGAAGGTCCTCTAAAGGAATTTCTTTAATGTTGCCGGTAGGACTTCTAGTTGAGAAGAGCTGGATTTTTTTTTCCTGTGGGCAAAACAACAGTAAATTCAATGGGATTATATCAACAAGGAATGTGGTAACTATGTGTATTCATGTCTAAGAAAAACATCTTCCTGAGTCTACAACCATTCAGATTCTTACCTCACCTCAAAAATACTACTTTTCAAGTTCTCTGTGACTATATTTATATGCCTTCAATGTAAAGGTCTCAATTGTGGCTTTGCCTCAAGGCCAGAATAATAAAGGACAACCTGTGGTTCTGTTGCTCCCAAAGCTGCCAGCAGGGAGATTTTCCTCCAAGTTTCCCTGTTCTTTTGGGGAAAGAACAAACTGTGCTGGCTTTTTGCCCACCACAGCAAATGCAATTTTTCTGTGCTCTTGACCCGAGCTGGCACAGACTTGAATGCAGAGGCAAGCTGGAGCCCAGGCTGCACTCTTTGTAATACTATTTGCAGTACACTGTAGAAGTGCATACTTTTGTTTCTAATGCAGAGCAAGCTTACCGTCTGAACAGTCAGATCCCAAAGATACATTTTAAAAAATGACTTTGAGGGTAAGCTACATTTACATGTTGTGCTAACTACTTTTGCATAGTGCTGGTTGCTATAGGGCTCAAGTGGCCAAGTCAGCTTTCCATCATAGCCACCAGCTGACAGTCAAGAAACCAAACAGCTCTTTCAGTCGATAGCTGTTCCTCAACTGGATGCTTCTAGTCTAATCTTTCCCTCCTCTGAACTCCACCCAGTGGTGATGCCAGCTCAGAGAACACTGTATGGAACCTTGAATACTGAGTAGTGAAGTGAACTGGAATAGAAGAGTGGTGAGGGTGTTACATACAATCATTCTCATGCACTCAAAACTGTATACAAAATGAACAAGTGGAAGGCCATCTTTTGGGGGTGCTTTGATTGCGCTTTTACTGTATGAAGGCATAAGGTCCTTGAACTAGATGTTCTTTACAGGACTCTTCCAACTCTGTTAACATTAATTTATTGTACAATGTTTAGTGTTGTATTTTGTTTAATTTTTATGGTTTTTTGTTTTGTTTATATAGGCATTAAATGTTTGCCTGTTACTATGTTGGAAGGTGCCCTGAGCCCCCATGGGGAGATATGGTGGGGTACAAATAAATGGTTGTTGTTGTTCGGTTATTGTTAATACCATATTGTTTTTGTTGACCCTCCTTTTCCACTTACAGAGCTAGCTTACTGTTTTTGTTTGGAATATGGTAAATATTCAAAAACATTTAACCTACAGATGCCTCAATTAATGTGATTTTATTGTTATCTACTTATATTTTTGAAATTTACCAGTAGATGCTACATTTCCCACCCTTGGCTTACACTCAAGTCAATAAGTTTTTCCATTTTTTATGGTAAAATTAGGTGCCTCGGCTTATATTCGGGTCGGCTTATACTCGAGTATACACAGTAGTGCTCTCAATTGTACAATGTGCTACAGATTCTGTAATATTTCAGGACCCTCTTTCTGCTTGAGAACCAAATTATAAAACAAAGCTATAAATGTATTTATTTCATATCAAAAGCATTGCATACATAAGTATAAAACTGATAAAAATAGAAGGAGCACAAGTGGGTAGATAATTTTTGACCGAAAAGGGGCAACAGCAACCACATTGTCTGTAGCTTTAAACAGTTCTTTCTCTGTACATGAGGCAGAGCATTGTGGACAAGCATACAGATGCCGAGTTGTTTGTTCTGCTCCACAGTCGCACAAGGTGGAGGATTCTTTTAGGTAGTTCCATTTTTCCAGGTTGTCTTTTGATCTGCCAACTCCACTTTTGTGTCTGTTTAGCAACTTCCAAGTTGCCCATTCTTGGTTTGCCCTTGGAGACAGAACCTCATGGGGGACCATCCAATCGGGATTTCCTGGTTTAGATGCCTAGAGGGATGATCTTGCTGTTGCTGGGGAAACATTAAGAGGAGTGGTGGTTCTCATGAAGCTTTTCCTTGATTTGAGACTACTGGGATATGGAAAGAGCCTCCTCGAAGACTGAGTAAATACAGTTGGGCTTCCCTTGGGCAATGCTTCTCGTAGATGGCTAATCTTTCCAAATCCAAAAGCAGTGCTTTTAAACATTCTTAAGCTATAAAATAAATCAGCAGGTAAAGAACAAAAACATTTGGTTCTGGGGATCAGACACAGTGAAAAAAAGACATTTAAAAATAATTCTTTTTACAATACTTCTGAAAAACTGAGGGGCAAGATATAACAGATGGGATTCAGTACTCTGACCTTGAAAAGTTCCTGTACTACAGACTTGCCAATTTCATGTCTGATAGAGATAGGATACATAATGGTGAAATTTGGACTGGGCTAGGAAATAATAAGGTAGCCTTTCAGATTTTCATGTTCATGGTAGCTATGTTTATATGCACACACACACACATACACACACACACACACACACACACACACAAATATACATACTTGCTTCTTACTTCTGGAAAATTGGAAAGAGACAGTAGTTTGAAATCAGCTACCATGTACTGAAACTAATCCTTAATCTCATAATAGAAACCTAAATTTTCAAATTCTTTTAAAGCTTTACATGTACATATTACAAAACTGGAAAAATTGTGTATCTGTATTTTTTTTTAAAAAAAAAGAATTTAAACATGTGCCAGCTTATCTAGTATTGGTACATTTTGCAAAACACAGAAAGAGCTGTTTTTTATGGACTTTTACTTGTAACTGAACTTGTAAGAAAAGGAATTTGCATATATTTTAATAGAATTACTTCACAATGAAAAGCATCCCCTTTGGTTGATTAAAATAAATATAATTCACACAGAATGCAACACTCTCTTACGTTTCACTCATCTTGACTAAATCGTGGCATTGTCACCTTTCCATAACCTATTATTTCCTATAAACCCATTTTATAAGATAGTTAAAATGTTCAAGCAAGCAGTAAAGGTAGAAAAACTATGTGAAGCCATTCACAGAACAGTTGATGCAGATGAGATGGTAAAAAGTCCAGGTCATTATGGGTAGTATTCACTGTCTTCATGCTTGACTCCCAAAAGATAAATGGTACTGGGAAGGAGCTTGTCAAACTGGGGAATTCACTTATCTAGCGACTATTGAAATTACATCTAGAAAGAGACAGCAGATGTTTGCCAGAATATTTGGTTATTGGCCTGCTATTCCTAAATTACAGTATTTCGATTTTTTTTAAAAATTTATGAACAGACTTAAAGACATTTGGGGTTGGAGTTTGTGGTAATGTAAAATCTGTAAATGCCACAGGAAATATGGGCAACTTGGAGGGTGTTTACATTTCAAGTTGCAAGTGAGTACTTATTAAATTGAGCCAAAAGGATTAGCTGCTGTTCTCTATAGAAACATAAGAAAGAATGGTCATAGCATAAACCACTAATGAGCAGTGAGTCTATGTGGGATGAACCATGGGCTGGAGTTTCTACCATAGTGACTGTCTGTTCTTACTTCATGGGTCTAATGCCAGAATGCTAAATGACAGTCTGATGGGAAAGTCTACATTTGGTGGAACTTTTGCTTAGGGTGTGAAGAGCACAGATCCAGCATTACAATCCCCTTTTTTGCATGTTTTCATTGAATTATGTGTTGGAAAGGAACCACAAGGACCATCTATTCTACTACATCTCCCTGCCATGCAAAAATCCACAACTGAAAGATCCTAAAGAGATGCCAATTTAACCTCTTTTTGAAAGGGAGAGAGTTCATTACTTTGAGATAGTCTATTTCAGGTGTTCTCAAACTAAGGCCCGAGGACCGGATACGGCCCTCCAAGGTCATTTACCTGACCCTTGCTCAGGTTCAACCTAAGTCTAAAATGACTTGAAAGCACACAACAACAACAACAACAACAACAATCCTATCTCATCAGACAAAAGCAAGGCCACACTTCCCATTGAAATACTAATAAGTTTATATTTGTTAAAAATGTCTTCATTTTAATTATTGAATTGTTTTTAAGTGTTATTTGCACTACGAATACAATATGTTCAGTGTGCATAGGAATTCATTCATTTTTTTTCCAAATTATAATCTGACCCTCCAACAGTTTGAGGGACTGTGACCTGGCCTTCTGTTTAAAATGTTTGAGGACCCCTGTTCTATTCAATTGTCAAATTACTATTATCACCAGGAAGTTCTTCCTAAAGTTTTGATGAAACTTTTATAGTAATTTGAATCCATTTTAATGGCCTTGTCTCTGGAGCAACAGAAAACAAGCTTGCTCTGTTTCTACATGACATTGCTTCAGATATTTAAACATGACAATTGGAGTATTCTCCAAATTAAACATATGCAGATTCCTAAACCATTCCCCGTAGAGATTGATTTCCAGTTTAGGAAACATTTTTGTTTCCTTTCTCTGAACGTGTTCCAGTTTGTTGATATCCTTCTTAAACAGTGATGGCCAGATCTGGACACAATATTCCAGGTGAGGTCTGACCATAGCATGAACTATTACTTGCCTTTTTATGCATTCAATATCCTATTGCGTATATGGGTTATGTACTGACAAACTTGAAATGACTGCACTACGGACTTGAAAGCATCAAGGGCATTGCTTTTCATAAGAAGTGGCAGATAGAAAGTTAGTCAAGCACACAAACTATTGCCACTGCTTTTGCCTGCTGAAAATCACTTCAGTTATAAGCTATTTTTTTCCTGAAAGGTATGATCAATTCCATTAATCTTTGTTATATGCAATATAACAAAGTAATATTTTATAGATTGCTAAATTCACAACTTGTCCACTATAAGCTGTGATACCTAAATGGGACCTCTGCCCTGAAAGGTAGTAAATTTCTCATAAGCAGATTGTGAAACAAACCAAAATAAACATTAGAAAATCAGTTCTCTTCAGGCCTTCCTTACAAGCTGCTCAAAGCTTACTGATGACTAGTGTTCATATTATTGTGATGTGCACAAATCTCTTGTTTTAGTCTTTGCTTCTGAAGAAGATGTTTCTGGCTGCAATGATCTATACCTTAATTAACTATTGACCAAGATCCTGCATTGTAGCCTTTCATCATAGATACAGTTGTTTATGCCCTCTTCCCCACAAAAAAATGCATCCTAGTTGTGGCCAGACAGATATTTCTGGGGTGCTTATGATCAGGATGCTGGGTAATGATATCTGACCTAAGCTCCGACCTAATCATGTGGTGTCTTTGTTTTCTTTTCCAAGTGTGATAATGGCCACCAAATTATCATAGAATAGAATCATTGAGTTGGAAGTGACCTCATGGGTCTGCTTATACTGTAGAAAATTGTGGTGCCAAACAAGAGAGACTGGAATCATTAATAGATGTAGAGCGTTGTTTTCTATATATTTTTAATCTCTGGGGATGTTTTTGGGTGAAGAATACATAGCCATTTAGATGCTGTCTGGCTCTAAATCCCAGCAAGAAAATTCAGGACTCAGGGATGATGGAGATTGCAAGCCAGTAACATCTGGAGCTCCTTAGATTCTCAACCTGATTCAAATGAAAGATATTTTGCTGACTTTGAAAAGTCTGTCTTATGGCTTAAGGATAGAAAGTTTTTTTAAATCACATTTTTATACTTTATGATGATATAATCTGTATTTTTTTCCTGTTATTCAGTCTTTGGTTTATACAGGTGTCTTACAAACATACTTATGGTCTCGGTTCAGATTTTCTCTTTATTTAGCTAGCAGAATGAAAACTAAACATTCAGCTGTAAAATTTTCCATATGGGAACATTGTTATAGGTCAATTTGAATAATGCCATTTTAATCTGAGCCACTGGGATACGATTATCTTGAATATGGTCTGGGCAACACAGTGATATACTTTGAATATTTGCTTTAATAAGTGATTTAATCTGCAAACAAAACTTATAAAAATGTTTTGACAGTGAACAATATACTGTTTTATAGTGACCAAATGTTAGATAACTTGTGTCTAACTGTATCTTTCTGCATTTTATGTAAAGTTGGAAAAATTTTCTTTCTTCGAATGAAACCATGCTGTTTGCTTTCTAAGAAAAATACTGCTCAAAATGGTTTCTTCACTGAAAATTTATTTAAATTATGGAGTAGAGAAATTATGAATTACCTCATTTTAATTATTAATTTTAATAGATCAAATGCATTAATTAGGACATAGGCAGAAATATATACTTTTTTTCATGTCAGGAGTGACTTGAGAAACTGCAAGTTGTTTCTGGTGTAAGAGAATTGGCCGGCTGCGAGGACGTTTCCCAGGGAACACCCGGATGTTTGGATGTTTTACCATCCTTGTGGGAGGCTTCTCTCATATCCCTGCATGGGGAGCTGAAGCTGACAGAGGGAGCCCATCCACGCTCTCTCTGGATTTCAACCTGCATATTGCAGTCTATTAATGTGCCCAGTCACCATAAGCTTCCTTGACTTAAACTAAACAGTGTATGTTCCTGATGCCTTCAGTAATAATAAGCTGTGATGCCTGCGCACAGGATCACTGCCAAATTCCAATTCTATATATATATTCTTATCCTGGGAGCAAGCTCCAGGGAACTCAGCAGGGTTTTAGGATTCCACTCCTGGTATGAATTGTTTTACTTTACTTCCCACTACTACAGGGAAATGCATATAGAAGTTATTTTCTCTGTTGTCAAGAGACAAAGTGGATAGAAAGACACTATCCATTTGGAGGTGAACACGTTGACCCAATATCTTGTACCAAAGCTCATATCTTTCAACTGCATCACGGCCCAGATCCCAGTTTTGGGGTTAGCATTTTGTTAACCCCAAAAAATTCTTAATACTGAACAATATCACATCGCTTCCATTTGAAGTTCTGTTTGTAGTAATAGTTGCAAAAGCTCCCCACATGATCAGCCAAAATAGAATAACTGTGATTTTACACTCAGTGTGGAAAATCAGTTTTAATATGTCACGTCTCCATCAACATTAACTTTTTGTGTTTAGTTGATACATTTATGTCGGTGTATTCTCAGCCGCCTGCTTTCCAAAATGCAATGGCTAGCGATATAGCAAGACCCTTATAAAACAATAGATTGCCTTATGTTGTGTTTCTATCGTTCACAGCATGCCATGCCATTCTGGAGGATCACAAGCCACTCTGACCTAATGGCCCTTCATCATGCCTTGGAACTGGAGTACTTATAATAGCACTTTGTAACCCCAAAACGTCCCTCTTGCCCATGGACAGTGTGCCTGTGTTTTGTGTCAGCACTGGGCTACAGAACTTTTGTGATTTCATCATGTTGATGTACAGCTGCAACTGGTCTTAACCTTTGCCCTTCGAGTAAATGGAGGAGCATGTCGCTTTCTTCAGAAACAGCTGTTGATTCTAGTACTGTGAATCCGAAGAAAACAAGCCATGGTGAGAATGTTTTAACAATGTGTCCTTACCACATTGGCTACATTTTGAAAGGTTCATACCTGTGAAGGGACTAGGACATGCTTTATGGCTTCTAGAATCTTCAGTGTGGTCCACACACAACTTCGGAAGTACAACAAACTTGATTGCACAACAAAGACTGAGCGCTTTTTTTAAAAAAAAGGATCCCATGGATACATTTCATGAAAAGGTTTACTTTTTTAATTTCTCAGACCCAGGGTACTCTGTAAATCTTTACTTATTTATGAACAGACTCTGCTTTGACATCATCATCATCTAAATGTGGATAATGTATGATAAATGGATGGCTATGATGTGTCTTTTGCCTTCTGGTAACAAAATTATTTTGATTTTAGCACATTGCAAAGTAGTTTAAAGTATGTCTAATTTAAGCGAATAGGTACATCACTGAGACAATCGTGTACAGAAAGAATGTTTTTGTGTAAATTTGTAATGAATGGATGATGTTTTACATATTGTTTAGGCAAATACTATTGAAAGGTAGTAATGGCTTTTTGGTGAAGAATGAGGCAGTGTGTGCACGAACTATTGTGCTGTGCCTTATGAAAGTATTGTGTATAAATATGTAGATAATGGAAATTTTTAGATCAATTTGTCAAGACCAAAAGCATGGATGTCAAGTGTCAATAAGGAATAGTTTTTTATTTCTTTTTTTCCTTCTATAATTTTTTTTCTCAGCAAATCTGCTATACCAAAATACTAGTTATATCTCCCGACCTTGCAATCTTGCTCATCATGGGTTGGCTTCTGGTTTACATTTTGTACTTGAGTCAATAGGTCCAAGTGCAAAATATATGTCACTCACATCAAGTAATGGTGGTTTACATGTTTAAATGTCAAGTTTTCTTGGAGAAGTCCATGCAAATGAAGGGCTAGTTGATCTTTCAGTGTTTTAATTAATTTTGCTAAGAAAAGCAGAAATCTAAATATGCATGTGCATTTTCTGCTGATACAATGGATGTATCAGAACACTCCTGAAAACTAAGAGCAGTGCTCTGCTCTTTCTTTTCGTTAGATTGGATACAGAATTGTCTTCATTTTGGTGGGAGGACTCTATCCATTCAGGAAAGGCTTTTGACCCAATGAAAGAACCCCACTGCTAGAATGGGAGATGTAATTGGAAAAAACTTCTAAACTGTGAGAGCTGTTCAGTAGTGGAACTCTCTACCCTGGAGTGTAGTGGAGTCTGCTTCTTTGGAGGCTTCTCAACAGAGACTGGATGGCCATTTGTCGGAGGTGCTTTGAATGTGATTTTCCTACTTCTTGGCAAGGGTTGGACTTGATGGTCCACGAGGACTCTTCCAACTTTATGATTCTATGAGTCTAAGTTGCCGTCCATGACAGTGGAGAAGGACTATAGGTAAAGAGGAGAAATCTCCCTTCTATTTTCACCAGTGGGAAGTTCAGACCAGTTCTGACCACACAGAGCAAGAAAACTCAATCCAACTTATTTTCTTTATTAATAAATCTAGAGTGTGGGAGGAAGGGAAAAATTAATTATGTTGACTTAATTTTAAAAAAAACCCAAAGTACTCATACACTCAGAAAGTACAAATAAAAGCATCCACTTAATTTTAGAGTCAAAAGAGAATAACTATTTTTAGAATTCAGGTATTATATATTAAGTACGAATCATTTGGAACTTGTTGCTCTCTTGCCCCCTCCCCTCAAAAACTGACTCAATTTATGTCTAAAATGCTTTTTTTAAAAAAAAAGAAAATCACACCGAAGTCTGCCAAAGAATACAGTGGAATGAGAGTTACAGTTTTATGATGACCACCTCTAAAGCAAACCAATATGACCCTAACAACATAGTAAAAAAGCAGAGCATGATGATGAATGGTGGTATACAGTGACCGGCAAAGCAGACCATCTTCCCAATACTTCTCCTATATTTAGGATGACATTTCAAATATAAATGGTTTACATGTGTAAAACATTCAATCTATGGAATAATGTGTAGGCATTTTGAAATAATTTTCTTTTATTTATGATCCCTTAATTTTTGATAACATTCGTTTTCACCATCCCATATCAGTAATCCAGATTTTTCTATTAGTCCATTGCTGGCAGTGGGCTCACTAAAACCATTATTGCCAATTATGTTTAGACTGCTTGTAACTATTTTGTACCACATTTCAACCATACTCATCTTCTGCAAAAAATATGATTAACATGAACAATTTATCCTGTTTTACTTTGAGCTGATTTAGATAATCAAATGGTGCTTACCCATGGTTAACCTATACATACTTTCTTCCTTCTCCTGCCATAATTGTGTCTGAAGCATAGTACCATCAGTGCATTACCCCCATTTGATCAGCATTCTTAGCCAGGAGTGTTGGGAGAAATTATAATTGCATAAACTGACCCCAAGCTTACAAAGATGGCTAAGAGAAGCACACTTTTAGGTCTGTATTGCACCCATGGGTCTAAATTCTTAGCCTGAACTTTAGTGCCAGGCCAGTGAAGTATCCATTCTATACCTTGGTTCTTTTAGTTCTTTTTCCAGCTTTTGGATTTTTGTTTTATGAAATAAACCAATGTTTAAACCAGCTGCTAGGAAAGCAAGAACAGTAGCTGTGAGGTAACTCCTCCTTTCATGGAGGATGCATATTGCTGCTACAGTGTATAATTATTTTATGGATTGTTTCAAACTGTTTGATAATAATATGACACCCCAAAGTCAACAACTTTATATACCAAGAGCAATCCAATTCAGGGACTACTCAAAGTATGTAAAGTTAAGCACATACACAACTCTTTTAATGACAGGGGCTGTAATTAGTGTTTTGTTTCCTTTTTTGCTTTAAGCAAAATAGAGATGGACATTTTTTTCCCTTTATTTCAATTTTTGTAGTCAACATGCTGACTAAAAAAGGTTTTGTCTGGGCCTTATTGTACAAAAAGTTTGTTGTGTCCACAATTGTGTACAGATATTTTCCTCCATTCATTTTGTGCTTAAATTAATAAAATTGATTTGTGACATATTAAACACTTTTCTCCTGTGTTTGATTTCTAACATTCCTCGAGTCATTATATATCATATTTGTTTGTGTTAGATACGGTAGCCAGAAATTTGAGCTTAAAAATTCTAGTTCAAGTTCATCAAATATGACCTTCTGCATTTCGCTATTAATATAACCTACCTCAAAAGTGTACAAGCTCAGACTATTTTTTTTATAATTGTTGCTTATAGACATTACTAGGCTTGTCTGATCAAAAAAATTGTTCAAAACTCGCTTCAGATGTAGTGGTTTGGTTTGGAATTGAATTCCAAATTTTTTTTGGAAAAAAAATGGAATTTTTCAAAATTTCTGAAACTTCAGAATACTTCGTTAATAGCAGAGGGCTTGTCACCTTCTCCTTCTCCTCCTCCTCCTCCTCCTCCTCCTCCTCCTCCTCCTCCTCCTCCTCCTCCTCCCACATTAACAGGGGAGGCAGGCCTGGAGTGGAAGAGCCACTCAGTCAGGCTGAAGCCCCTCCGGAGCTGCTTGGCTTGGCTCCCGCTGCAGAGCTTCAGCCTGACAAGGGGCTCTTTCACTCCAGGCCTGCCTCGGCTGTCAATGAAACCCACAAAATGACCCCACATGGGGACAGGCTTCTCCCCTTGTGATCCACCTTAAATCTGGCCCCATTTGACCCCCCCCCCAAGATGTCTTCCCCGTTGGGTTTTCTGGAGACATTTCCAGCCCTGAAATCATACATGGAGGACATTTCCAGCCCTGAAATCATACAAAAGGCAGCCTGATCCTTTAACAAGGTGGGAGACAAACTTGACTGAAAAGGCAGAGAGAAAGTGGGGACTGACTGGGGCCAGGCTTTGGGCGCCTTTTCACCTATGTCTGGCAACTTTGGCTCAAGGTGACATTTCCCAAAACTGAGGAAGGAGGGGAGGAAAGGAAAGGAAAGGAAGGGAGGGAAGGCGGGAGGTTAAAGAAAGGAAAGGAAGGAGTAAGGGAAAGAAGAAGGGAAGAAAGTGAAGGAAAGGAAGAAAGTGAATGAAGGAAATAAGGACAAGAAATGAGTTAGGGAAAGAAGGGAAGGGCAGGAAAGGTGAAGGAAGGGAAGAAAGTAATGAAAGAAGGAAAAGAAAGGAAAGGAGAAAAGGATAGGAGTAAGGGAAGGGGGGAAAGGAAAGGAAGTGAAGGAAAGGAAGAAGATGAAGGAAGGAAAGAAGGAAAAGAAAGGAAAGGATAAGAAGAACTAGAAAGGGGGGAGGGAATAGAAGGGAAAGAAAGGGAAGGAAGGAAGGAAGGAAGGAAGGAAGGAAGGAAGGAAGGAAGGAAGGAAGGAAGGGCCAAGCTTCAGCCTTCTTCAACTCTCCTTCTCCTCCTGCTCCTCGGCTGTTAATATGGAGGAAGAGGAGGAGGAGGAGGAGAAGGAGGACGAGGTGACGCGGCCGTCTGGTGAATGTATCGCCTCCTCTGCATTAACAGCCGAGGCAAGCCTGGAGTGGAAGAGCCCCTCGGTCAGGTGGAAGCCTGGCCGTTCCTTCTGCTAATGTAAAGTGCCTTTAATAGATGCTTTTATCAGGTCTTCTTGAGGTAGCGTAGCTCATAGTACGTTTATTTTGTTTTTCATAGGGCCCTTCCACACAGCCATATAACCCATAATATCAAGGCAGAAAATCCCACAACATCTGCTTTTAACTGGGTTATCTGAGTCCACATTGTGATATATTCCAGTTCAAAGTGGAAAATGTGGTATTTTATATTTCCCCAAGGAAATTATTAGATTAGGAGATTTCTTGTTTCCAAAAGTACAACTTGAAACCCCAAGCAGAGAAAGGGTGCTCCAAAGTGGAGTTTTGTTTTTCCCCAAGGAAATGATTAGCAGATTATAAGAGATTTCTTGTTCCCAAAAGTACAACATGTAACCCATACCAACAAAGGGGGCTCCTTAGTTGTATTTTGTGTGGTTCCCCAACTCTGTCCTTCCCTTGCTAAGCAATGGCATGGCACCTTTCCCATCCAAGCAGCCTGACCTAATCCCTTTCCCTTTGCATCCATGGCTGGCAATGAGCCCACGAGGTATGCATGCCGTACCGAAACTCCGCCCCTCCCCACATGGTTTCCCCTCATTGGTTGGAGGCAAGCATCCCAGCATGCAAGCTGCTGCTTTCCTCCAAACGCTGGGTCTTTTTCGATTCACTTTCTTAGTCAGAACAAAGATGGCAGCAGTGGCTTTGAAATGGCAAGGATACTTCTGGGTTCCCAAATCACTTTGAAATTGCTTCAAAAAGGAATTTGATCCAAATTTAATCCGAATTACGAAGATTCCGATTGGACCTAACCATGCTTAGATGTCACCAAAGGATAAATGACACTTACCTTGCCCTCTGTCTTCTAGAAGGGGGTATAACTAGTGTTATTATCCATTAAAGCTGGAAAAATGCACCTTGGTACACAAATAGAAGGAATCCAAGACCAGTGTAGGTATGTTTTCATTATAATCGAGATATCATATTCAATGCATGTATATCAAGAATGTTGGCTTACTAATAATTATTGCTTGTAAGTTATTGTGCACGGGTTATATTTTTATTGAGCCTGTGAAGTAATCAGAGTGTCAGACTAAATCTTATAAGGGATCTTGACCTTGTAAACTTGCTGGGTATCCTTGGGCTTGACTTCTCTTACAGGAACTGTAATGAAGACAAGGTTGGAAAGGAGAAGGAAAATATGTAAGCTGCTTTCATCTCCTTGGAAGAAATTGATATGTAACTGTAATTTATAAAGAATACATCTTAATGACTGCCTTTGCACAGCGAATACATTAATTCATATACAAGTACATATGAGTGTTTGTAGGTTTGTTCTACTACACAAAATATATATTTGTTGGGAAATTACCAGATACCAAACTAAGTTAACTACCTTTGAGCTCAATGGATTTATTGTAAGCATAGCTAATTGTGAGTCCCAAGAAGAAATCTGATCTCAAGGTGCTCAGAAGAGAGTTATTGCTCAGAAGACTAAGCTTTGGAAGGGGAACTCTGAAAAACTAGATAAGGTCCAGAGGTGTAAAGAGATATCACTGAATACTAAAATTAGGATGGTCCATGCCATCATATTTCCTATTTCTATGTGTGGTTGTAAAAATTGGACAGTGGCGAAAGCTGATAGGAAGAAAATTGACACATTTGAAATGGTGGTGGAGAAAACTTCTGAGGATCTCTGGATTGTGCCCTACCATTTGTAGTGATTTTTTTTGTATCTGAGAGAGTAATATGTAGAGGGGTCAACTCTTTGTCCTAACCTGTTATTAACTTCTGATAATTTCCATTTTTTAAGATTGATTTTACTAATTGAAAAAATACAACATGAAACATACTTTGAGGTATGGAAAGAGAAATTTTAAGGAGAAAGACTGAGAATTGGAAAAGAGCAATTAAGGAAATTAAACACTCAAGGATTAAGGAAACACAATGTAAAATATTGACAATATGATATCAAACCCCACACAAAGTGGCCTATATTATATTAAAAAATCAAAACTTTGTAGGCATAAATGCGGGGGAATGGGAGGGTTTATTCATATGTGGTGGGACTGCGGAAAACTACAAAATTTCTACAAAAAGAGTAAGAATGAGATGGAAGAATTATTAGGGAGAAAAAAATGAACTAAGCAAAAAACACTAGGTTCTTGTGGGGGGTTTTTTCGGGCTATGGGGCCATGTTCTAGAGGCATTTCTCCTCTAAGCAAAAAACATTTTTTTACCCAACAAATTGAAGGTAATGATAGGAATAAAGACCAGATTAAATTTACAAAATATATGATCGCAGCTATCCAAGTAACAGTTTCCTTAGGATGGAAAGATGAAGGGAAATGGGAATAAATAACAACAACAACAACAACTTTATATACCGCCCTATCTCACCAAAGGGATTCAGGACGGTGAACAACAGAATCAGCAAACATTCAATGCAGTAGAACAAAGACAAGTAAATACCGATCCCACCCAAATCCCAAAACAAATACACATTTATACCAAAAGTAAGAATCATTAAAACTGATAATAATAATAATAATAATAATAATAATAATAATAATAATAATTGAACTTTATTTGTACCCCACTACAATCTCCCAAGGGACTCGGTGCAGCTTACATGAGGCCAAGCCCAAAATGCATCAAACAAAACATCAATAAACAGAACATCAATAAAACAATCAATAAAATACAAATCATATAAATCACATGAACAGAAAATATACAATAAACAATCAACAGTGACATATAAACATTTTAAAAATGGCCGGGCCAAATGTAATAGATTAAAATTGAAAATATGCTGACGTGAACAAGATAAAATATAACTGGGATAGGATTTTTCAGAGAGAAATAAGGGAACGCAGTCAATCCTAAGTCAGTATTAAAGTGCATTATGAGGGCATATTGTTGAGAGTTCTCCTTATTCTGGGGAGGCACACTGGAACAACCATGTTTTCAGGCTCCTCCTAAAGACTGCCAACGTTGGGGCAGTTTATGACCCTATGAGCACACACAAACTAAAACATGTAAGCCATTTTTACTAATCAAACAACTATCATGGGGAAAAAAACTCGAGACACATCTCCAGTTTCTTCTGTAGATTCTTCTACAATTTCTGCTTCTTTTAATTCTGAATCCAACCATCAAATGTAAACTTGTACAGCACTGTTTTCTAGAATGTAGGCAGGAGTTTCTTTGCCAAATAAGGAACCTGATAAGTAAGAGGCTGCCTTGGTTCACTTAAAAATAATAAAGAACACTTCTGTGTCCTTACTGTGATAACTCAGTAAGAATATATGAGCCAAGAACGAAATAATGCTTATAAAAGCAAGCTGGATTGTATGGAACAGGAAGTTAGAGATGTAATATGTTTCTGAGCCCAATAATATGCTTTTAATACACAGATTTACCAGAAGTTTTTTGCTAATTCAATTATTATCTTTTGATGTGTGTATACACTGGCAAACAGAAGAATAGTCAAACTATTGTGCAAAAAT